GGGTGCAGTCAAGCTAGGCGCTCCGAGGTCGCCACGGCGGGAGCGGGGCGCGGGCCCGGAGGAGGACCCCGGGCGCAGCCGTGGTGGGTGCGTCCTGCCAAGAAGGGCGGGGGCGGCGGGGCGCGCACGCGGAGGAGGAGGGAGGGCCGCGAGCGAGTGCGACCAGATAAGGGAGCGCGCCCGCCGCCGCCGCCGCCGCCCTCCTCGGGAGAGAGAGGCTGGAGCGAGCTGTGCGAAGCGCCGCATTTCAATGAGGACGGGCCGAGGCACATCCCTGCACTAGTGGCCGCAGCGAGACGCCCGCGCTCCCGCAGCTGCCGCCGCCCAGCCCGGCCCCGCCGCCGCCCCCAGCCCCGCAGCCCCGCAGCCCCGGCCGCGCCCAGCCCGGCGAGGACAGCGCCAGCAGGCGGCCCCGAGCCTGGCCACAAAGAGCCCCGGCGGCATCTCTCCGCGGACCGGTGCGTGGTTTGCCTTCGCCGGGGAAGGGAGCTGCGGGGAGGGCGGCCCGGGGCCCGCAGCGCCCGCTCCGCCCGCAGCCGCGGGGCGCCGGGGGCAGGGCGGGCGCCCAGCTCGGCCGCTGCCGCCCCGCCCGCCGTTCCTCGAAAGGCGGCTGCCCTGCCCCGGCCGGCCCCGGGGGCGTTGCGCGCGGGCGGACCCCGGGCTGCGGGCACCTGCCTCTTTTGTCTGGTGCCACCGGGCTTTACGCGGGGAGTCGGGCGAGCGGGCCCCCAGGCTTTTCGCCGCGTCGTTGGTGGCTGTGGAGAGCCAGGGCGGAGAAGCCCGGAGAGGTGCTTGTCATTGTCGGAACTGGCTGCGGGGCGAGGACCACGTCTAGTCTGCGCCTGGAAGGAGTGGCCGGCCCGGCCTCTTATTGTGTGTGTGCCTTCCCGTGTGCCCGGGCGGGCGGGTGGTGTGTGCTTGAGGATGGGGGCGATCCGGGCATGGTGGGGGCTGCAGCGTGGGGGGTGCAAGTGGGTTTGCAGGGTCTCAAGTTCCTTCGGGGACAGCGAGGCTGCTTCAGGTTGGAATTGGTACCTGCAGTGCTGAAAGCATGCGGAGAGGAAATGGCATTTTCCTGCTAGTGGGAGTGCACGCACAGCCCCGCATTGCCCCACAAAAGAGGCTGCTTTTGAAATCTAGGTTTGTGCAGAATTGCTGCTGTACTCGGCAAGGAGGTGCTTGTCGGTGGTAGAGGAGATGAAAGGTTTCATTCAAACCGGTCCCTTCTCTGCCGCACCTGAGAACGTGTGTCCAGGTTACGGTGCACACGCGTTCAGCGGCCACACTGCAGGGTGTTCCACGAATACGTTTTATGACTGTTCCCAAATATATTGCCTTTCAATGGGAAAGGAAAGTAGGACAGCGCTTTAACTATGAAATGTCACATGGATGCGGGTCAGCGGGGATTTTAAGAGAGGTCATATGGAGGAAAATTATAAAAGGTATGCACACACCCTGTGACATCTACGTCTGTGGTCGTGTGTGTGCACACAGGGTATGTGTGTGCCTTTCATTTCTCGCCTGTGCATCTACCTGCATCCTAATCCCACTGCGAAATATGCCTTGGGACTTCCAGGTCCAGCATCTACTTAGATGTGGTGGCGTCTGTGCCAGTGATTTTTCCTGGGGTGGGTGTTTGTAAATTTCTGAAACAGGAACCCATGTGGGTGAACAGAGCTTCCTCCAAATGGTGAGAAATCCCACCAAGAACAATCATGGATGTTGGTTTCGGGCATGGCAGTGTTTATAGGAAAAGCTCTGGTAAGAGCCAGTAGCCCTTCTTCCCCACCCAGGGTCTGTGGTCTCCATGGCTGAGTCCCTGTGGTTATGCTTTTGGTGCCATTGCACGTGTGTACCCTGGCCCTTGGCCACCTATGGTCCATGAACCTGGGCGGTGTGTTCCAGCAGGCTAGGCTTCCTGTGCAGAACGTGTGAGCCTGGGGGAGGCCAGCGAATCTTTTTCAGGAGCTCTTGGTGGAAATGTATGACTAAGCCAACTGAAGAGCTGAGACAGCCAAGGCCAGGAAAGAGCACTTATTTTGATGCTGGAAATAATTACCAGAACACACCAGTGTGTGGAGTGTGGTGTTTTGACATTCATTTAGTGGTAGCTGTAGTCTTGAAAGTGATCTCACTTCGAGTGTGGTTTTTCTTTGTCGACATTGCTGCCCACTTTGGGACAGGTTCAGAGAAGAGAAGTAAAAGATGGGGGCCCTGCCCTTGGAGGAAGGTGTGATCTAGGTGGAGGAAATATGTAAATAAAATAAAACAAAATAAACTTTCCTCTGTTTTAAATTGTTCCTTTCTTTTATTTTGGTGTGGAGTTCTTGGTACTAAAAGCCTGTTCCCCTTAGGGAATTCAAACAATTGCCAAATTATTTGGCTTTTGCCAATTGTGCATAGCTGACAGCTCTTTAGAAGTAGGTTTGCACTTTCTCTGCTAACACCACTGTGCCATCCTTTGCTTCAACCCTGCTTGTTTTCTTTTCGTTTATATCAATTTGGGAGAAAGCCCCCAAACCCCTAGGGTTAGAAGAATGATCACTGCTTTTAAAAATCAAACAAAACCTTCAAAAGCCAATTTGGCCTTCCTAATTTACAAAGTTTTGAGGTGCTTTGTGAGTTGGTGTGAGTACTGGCAGTATCCTCTATCCCATGCCCCCCATCCCCAAGGCACACACCCCTTTTGGAAGACAGGAGAGCTCACTTAAAAAATATACACATAAAAAAGTAGGAGCAGTTACCAATATCATGGGCAAGATACTGGTTCTGTTAAATAATTAATACCTACAGGATTAGATATCAAAGTGCGAATTGTTTTAAAGTTTCCTAACTTCAAAATCAATGAAACCAGTTCATAGCTACCCATATATGGTAGAATACACTGAACTCATAATCACTCCAGGTTTAAATCACACTTCGCTTACTCCCCCCAAACCCCCAGGCCTCTCAGTGGGGTCAGCCTTTGACTCATGAGCAGATAGAATCATGAGCATTAGAGGCCTGGTGACTGCCATCCCTCTGTGCCCAGACAAGGTGTGGATCAGTGAGCTGGCCTGCCCAAGGGCACCAAGCTGGTTTGGAGTAAGGACCTTAAAATCCCCTGCTTTGTTTGCTGCTGATGGGCCAGTCAGGGGAGCTAGGGACAGAGAGCATCGGCTTTGGAGTCACAGTAAATGAGGATTCAAATCTCAAACCTTTCAGTCACAACCCTGGGACTCTGGATAAATTCCATACCCACCCCTAGTCTTGATAATATCACCTCCCTTGTTAGATTAATGTGAGTTCTAGAAGAGAATTTTTAGCATATTATAAACAAATAATTGATGAATAATAGTGCCAGGCACATCCCAGACATTCAATAAATATTGGTTTCTTCCACTTCATTTCAGGAGTACCAGATCTCTAGCTGTGCTTGCAGGCATGGAATTTTAGCCACTCTGAATGGATCAGAGGTCAGTTTGCTGAGGGTAAAAGAAAGGTCAGGGACCAACGTCAGTACTTTCTGTGAGTTTTGGCTGACTTTCGGAAAGGTGATATATCATCTAGGAGGTGGGATTTGGGAAGTACTTGCAAAGTTCTTATCCCCAATTTTCCATTTTCCTTATGTTTTATTTCAATGTGCTTGAAATTTTGCCATTAAAATGTCATTCCTTTGAATGCAGAAGTTTTTCCACTTTCTCGATTGTCCTGTTAAAACATAGATCCCTCCTGCAAGGGGCAACACCACAAGCAATGCCTTAGCAAGGGTGAATGGATCACCCAGGTGGCTTGCTCAAAGTATAAAATGGAAAGTGAAATGGGGCCCTGGGCGTGCAGGTGTACTTTTCCAAAAGTTGTGAGGTAGAGATTAGGAGGGCCAGGGAGCCTCCCTTGCCAGAAGAGAAAAACTGTGTTTCCCCTAGTTCTTTTTATGCCAGGGTCAGCAACAGAAATGCAGATTTTATTAATTAAAAAAATCTTAATACTTATCACATGCCGGACTCTATCCTAAGGGCTTCGTGTGCATTAACTTATTTAATGGTTTATATTAACTGTGAGGTAGGTACTATTCTTCTTTCTATTTTGTGGTTGAGGAAATTGGGGCTTAAAGATGTTGATCAAGTAGTTTTCTCATGGCTACACAGGTAGTACAGGGTCAAGTCTAAATCAACATCTTTAAGCCTTGATTTTCTCAACCACAAAGATAGTGAGAACCTTAGTGGAAGGAAGGGCAGAGTCCTCCAAAGAAGAAGATGTTTTCCTTTCTTCTTTTCCTCATTTTTCTTCTTCTGCTTCTTTTTAAACCCAACTTATGTGAAGCAGTAAATGTAAATAAATGAGGTATGATGAATTTGCTTTTAAAAATACTAAGTATGTGAATATGTTGGGAAGTCTTCCTTTAGTCAGTGCAACCTACGGATTGATTTAATTTGCTCTCCATCTGGCTGTGGGGAGCACAAACGCTATGTAAAGCTTTTGCAGTCTGACTGTTAAATGCTGCCTGCCCTCTCTTTTTTTTTTCCTGGCCTGCCAGGGCCACTTGTCTTTCTTGGGATAATTATACAGAAAGCACATTTTCTACCTGTCACCAGGTAGGGAGCCCTGCAAGGAATGGTGGCCTCCAGAGTCAGGCAAACCTGGGTCAGAATTGCTGGTTAAAGCACTTCTCAATGTGTTGACTTGGAGACATTTTAGGGGAAATTTTTCTGTTGCCTCAGTTTCCTCATCTGTAAAGCGGGATGATGACACTCTGCAAGTCTGCTGTGACTACTGGGGCTGAGATCTGTTTGCAGCCTTTTACGTCCATGGAGCAGCTGTTGGCAACAAAACTGGGGTTGATTAATACGCGGTTTGCACTGGGATCGCCCCTTCCTCCTCTCGCGTTTGATGACTCCCAGTAAAGGAGCCGTGGATGACAGCACCGTCTCCGCCCAGCAGTTGCAGAGCAGAGCCTTTGAAATCACGGTCTTGCAATAACACGGGGCGTGTGTGTCTGCTTTTGTTTCTGGGGCTCGCAGGTCCGACCGGAAGTCCATCATGTCCTTCGGCAGAGACATGGAGCTGGAGCACTTCGACGAGCGGGACAAGGCGCAGAGGTACAGCCGCGGGTCGCGCGTGAACGGCCTGCCCAGCCCGACGCACAGCGCGCACTGCAGCTTCTACCGCACGCGCACGCTGCAGACGCTCAGCTCCGAGAAGAAGGCCAAGAAGGTCCGCTTCTACCGCAACGGAGACCGGTACTTCAAAGGGATTGTGTACGCCATCTCCCCGGACCGCTTCCGATCCTTTGAGGCCCTGCTGGCTGATTTGACCCGAACTCTGTCGGATAACGTGAATTTGCCCCAGGGAGTGAGGACGATCTACACCATCGACGGGCTCAAGAAGATCTCCAGCCTGGACCAGCTGGTGGAAGGTGAGCGCGCCACGGGACGATCCCCCCAGGTGACCCCCCAGGTTCCCTGCTCAGGTGTCCACACGGCGGTAGCCTTCTCCCACTCGCCCTCTGAGAGTTTGCATGCGGCCTTGTGGCTACCATCCTTCTTGTTTCTTTCACGCGTTTGCGTTTGCTGTGCTGTAGTGCAAAAAGAAAGAAAGAAAGAAAAAAAAAAACAAAAAAAAAAAACGATACTAGGTCAGGTAGCTTATAACAATGGCCTGAGGGGAAACATGCCTGATTCTACAGCATGCTCTATTTTCTTTCTCACACCCATGCTACGTTAATTTTAAAAGTCCATCTTTGTATCTTCAATCGCATAGTTCATATTCATTTCTAAATGCAAATGAACTTTTGCTATCACGATGTCTGAAAGTACTTGAACTGAAAATGACTAATGGATCATGAAATTTTAGAGTTGAAAGGAACCTTGGATAGCCATCAAACCCATTAATTTTATCTTTGCACACTGAGGCCCAGAAAATTCAAAGGACATGGTAAGATAGTTGTGACACTGGACCCAAAATTGGTTTTTCTGACAACCCTTTCCACTGTGATGCTTCTTTTTAAGTTTAGAGGATTATTGTCTTTCTATGATATTTGAGGATAGGAAGGGAGTGATCTGTTCAGTTTATTTTATAAGTCCAATGTAGGTTAGCAGTAGTTACCTATTTTAGACATTTAGTGTGGAAATAGCATGGTTTGGATTCGCAGATGAGGACTGGTATCTTATGCAAGAGCAATAGGTCGTCGCTGACTCTGGGCTACGCTTTTCTCGGGCTGGACCCTTGTTTGAACAGGGCATAAAGCCTCTCATCATCTTAGAAATCATAATCGAATTAAAGTGAGTTGGAGAGAAATAAGTGGAGTTACATGTATGCTAAGGTGTGAACGAGGACAGTAGATCCTCTTTGGAGAGTGGGTTTTTCTGAGATTGAGTTCTCACGGCCCTGGTGAAGGAGTTGGTAGCACCAAGGGGCACGGGAAAGGAAGGTCCCACACAGCGTCAGAAGAGCTGGATTTCGCCCTGAGGTCACCTTTACTCCAGAAGTGTTCACCCAGGCCCTGTTGTCCAGCTGGGTCCAGGAGGGATGCAGCGTAATTCCCTCCCTCTCCTGTGCAGGTAGCTGGAAGCTTCCCTTTCAGCCCTCTTGGAGTCTGGGTTTGCTCTCCCTGACTGCGCTCTGACAGAGCCCTCTTGTCCTGCTCTGTAACCAGTCTGTGTGCGATTCAAGGCGAGGACTTCTCCCTTTGTCCCCGCCTTCATCCCTTGGCAGGAAGGCCAGGCCGGCCTCAGTATGACCGGGCTTGAGAGCATGCACAGGAGCCTGGACTTGGTGTGTTTGTTTTGTGGGAATTCACATTTCTTTTTGGTGGCTTGTCACTCTGCCAAGATGCCTGTAGACTTGGCCTTTTTCCCTCTATTCAAGGGTTGGAACTTCCAGTAAATTAAAAGGGAAGAATGAACGTGAAATCTTTGTGTATCAGCTTTGATATCTGGGCCCTGTCCTTTGCATGACCTTGGAAAATACAAGGATTTATAAAACATTTGGTGACATATTCTAAAGGGATCTGGATAAAGATCAGATGCAAATTCAGGTGCATGCCCAGTCACCAAGCCATCTCTTTAAGGGCTGTTATGCCAAGATCTCAGAGTACGTCCTAAGACAGCCTCCGTCGGTTCTAGAGTCACCTGTGCAGCATCTCCAGGGGAGGGGCACTTCAGTCAGTTTCCCACCCAGAATTGATCTTTACCGAGAATCGGCCAGAGACATTCCTATAACCCCCATCCACCAAGGAGAAGGTATGGGAGGTGACAGATGACAGTACTTCTTTCACATCTAGGGCCCAGCAAGACTGTGGCATGCTTGCCACCATCTTCTTTGTCCTTATCTTTTACCACAAAATAATGCCAGCTCTGAGAGACTGCTGTTTTGACTGAAGATAATGATGATGATAGCTCACATTTATTGAGCATGTGCCAGGCACTGGTCAGGGTTCCCTGCATATATGAATACATTTAATTCTCACAATGGTCCTGGGAGGACAGGAACCATTATCCTTCTACTAAGATGAGGGACAGTGTGGTTAAATGATCTGCTCAGACTCACACAGCAAGAAATGGTAGCATTAGGGTTTGAACCCATGAAGGCTGGTGCCAGAGCCTGATGTCACCACTGCCAGTAAGATATTGTGCGCTATGGATTCAACTCCTACAAAAGGAACTCCTCTGCTTGCTTTAATACAGTGGATTATTTTTTGATATAGCAGAATGTTGGACATTTTAGTGTAAAGGTAACTACCAACTATACATTGTTCCCATTGCTATTAGTCGTGTTTAAATAAAATATTATTGTATTAACTTCTTCTTGAAAACAAATGTTTTTAATCTTGTCTTAATTCCAAGAAAGAAAGATGTTGCTCCCAGAAACATTTCCTTATTGTCATTTGCCTCCAAATACTTTTTTCCCCAAGCAGTTTGAAGTAACTGCAGAATGAATATTCTAACACTTAACAATTACTTTTTTGAAAAAAAATACCCTTTTCTGATTGATTGAATGGTAACTTTAGTACAGTGTGTGAGTTCACATATTGGCTGCATTTATTTTTTGAATTTTCAGTTTAAACAGATTTTTTTTTCTAATTCATAACACTGACAATTAGCATGCAGCTGCACTTAGTGTTTAAATAGCTGGAAATTCATTTAGATTGGCCTCTTTGTCAATTACATTTTTGCTTAGTTTGTTAAAATGCAAACCGTTGCTTCATATTCATCATTAGGCTCATATCTCTCCCTTTACATACTAATTTTATGTAAACGTCAATGCATGTTATTAGCTTTTCATTTCCCCTTCCAATGTGATGATGTTTGAGTTTTAAATTAAATCCTTTTAGTGGGTGCAGTGACAAGTGTATTTGACTTCTAATTATTTTTTTAAGTTTGTTCTTTCTCACTTGTTCTCATACTGAAATTTCTGAATTACAATGATATACATGAGTATCTTTATTTATAACAGTCTCATGGTCACTTTTACTGTTTTATTATTGTGTACTGATCATTATGCCCAAGTGTGGTTTAAAACCCAGTGATGGAACTGATGATGAGCCCAGATAATATGTGTATGAGTGAGTGTGTACATGTGTGTATGTGTGGTTGTATGTTTGTCTACCTATGCATGTATGTAGATAAACACACACATATATTTAAGAGTATACCAAAGGCGACACTCTTGTTTGCTATCAAAATGGCCTTAATATGTTGTAAAATCATAATACTTAATAAGGAAAGTTGAATTGCAGGCCTATTTCTGCAAGTGATTCATCTTGAGACATGGCCTCATTTCCCCCAATTTTGTACCATTTATATTCTACAGTGGATATGCAAATGTTGGAAATATACACGAAGGTAAAACATTTGAACTCTTAGGAGAAAGATGTAATTTTCTCCTGAGCATTGATCTATTGATTGATTGACCGATCTGTCCTTTTAACATCTTGTGAGAATGTAGGTATGAAAGGGCTGGGACATTTCCTTTAAGCATCAGCTTAAAAACTAGGGAGACACGTCATCTGCTGGATACAAATAAGTTACTTTGTTGATCAGATCTGCACTATTAGAGGCAAGTCCCTCTTATTCCTCTGTTCTCACGCATGCCTTGGCCCCTTACCGACCTGCGATGAGCATTGCCTGGCTCTGAAGCTGTAGTTTTCGTAAGGGCTTTCTCCAACTTCCCATCAGAATTCACTTCTCAGGAATAAACCCATAGTTTGCCCCACAGTTAGGGAATCTCTCTCCTACCATGGCTTCTGGATTACTCATCTTTTTCTGTTTCCCAGAGTGTCATCCTCTACTCTCTTTTCTCTAATTCACTAGTTTCCTCTATGCCTCTCTCTGCTATATTGAATTTTTAAAAATTAATTTTGGAATAGTTATAAAACATGCCCTCCCTAAAATTCCCCAGGAGTTACCACTTTAACTAGATTTTTTGAGGATGATCTGAGGGATAAAGGATATACATGTACATTAGCCCCCCACCTTGTCCTCAAGGGATATGTTTCAAGAGCCTCAGGGGATCCCTGAGACCACAGATAGTACCGAACCCCATAAATACTGTTTTTTTCTATGCATACATACCTATGATAAAGTTTAATGTATAAATTAGGCACAGTAAGAGACTAAAACAATAGCCAATAATAAAGTAGAACAATTACAACACTATACTGTAATAAAAGGTATGTGAATTGAGCCTGGGCAACATAGTGAGACTCTCTACCTTTTAAAAAGAAATAGCTTTTTGAATGTGGGATTTCTCTTTCTCTCAAAATATTTTATTGTACTGTAATCATCCTTCTTGTGATGAAGAAAAGATGATGGAGCAAGATGGTGAGAGATCTCATCACACTACTCAAAACAGCATGCAATTTAAAACTCATGAAGTATTTATTTCTGGAATTTTCCATTCAATATTTTTGGACCACAGTTGACTATGGGTAACTAAAACTGAGGAAGGTGAAACCACAGTTAAGGGAGTAATCTTCTGTGCTTACAGTTCTGCACCTTGCTCTGTATACTTAACAAAATGTATTGGAGACCTTTTTATGTCAGTACATCTAGAACTGCTGTGTTCTTTTTACTGACTTCATAGTACTCCTTTATACAAATGTACCTTAATTTATTTTACTAGCCTTTTATTAATGGACTTTTAGGTCATGTGCAATTCTTTGTTACTACAAACAATTTTACAATGAATATTTTTGGATATATTTTCTACTCATGTAGGAGAATATCTTTAGGATAAATTCTTAGAAGTAATATTGTTGGATAGAGAGGTATAAACATTCAACTTTTAAGAGCTACTGCGAAATTCCTCTCCATAGAGGCGATTCCAGTTTACACACCTACCAGTAATGGATGAGAGTGGCTGTTTCTCTACACCCTCAATGAGATGGTTTGTTATCAAACGTTTTGCCATTTGCCA